CGTTAGCAATTTTTTATTCTAAATTAAATTTATTATATAGCATTGGTTTTCCGCATCCTTTTTTGGGCCACCAATTTAAACAAAACCACTTAATGAAAACCACACCCGGTTAAGACACGAGAATAATCTTATTTTTCTTTTTTTATAATTTTTTTGTGGAGCGAAGCAAAAGACCCTTTGCAACCGCTCTCGCAGTCTCACGTGATAGTTCTAACTGTTGACTTTGGAGTAACAGTGCTATTCTGAGAGAAATTTGACAATCTTCTGGGCGGTGAGGATGCGGATTTATCTCCTTCACCGCTTCCTCCTCATAAAAGTCCACCTCAGAGGACTGTATCCACTTTATTATAAATTAAATAGCAATTAGTCCAGCGGCGGTGTTTACAGCCCCGCCGGGATGAGGAGGTTATTAAACCTTCCACAATCTCCTACCCTGTATAGTCTTGTCAAGTTGTTTTTCAACCACCTCGATTCCAAGTGGCGCACTTGACATCTTAAATTCCAATTTTAGCACTTCAGCGACTCGGCTACACTGAGGTAGCTTTTGCAACTCCTTTTCCAAATTATGAAATGGAAAATGAAGTGATTACTCACTTAAATTTTTCTTCCCTTTCTCCTTCTTTCAATAAAATTGTAGCGAAAAGGGGGCACGTTAATCAAGTAGAGCTCACCATCTAATTAATACGCTCTTTCCTTCCGGAAGGAAGGAAGTGAAGCGCATTTTCTGCATTTTCTGAGCCCTCAACAAGTTGATTTTCCTCCTTAAAGACTTTGGCAGTTATTCCTTCTTTTTGCCTTGAGAAAAAAAAAGGTAATTTGAGGTGACGCAACTCCTGAAAAGGAAAGAACTGTTTTTAACATAAGTCTCTGTTTGTCATCATCTACCGGGCTTGGTAAAAAAGTAATTTTGTTAACAGTAGTGCTTGTAGCCAGTGAGGGGTAAAATGATCTTGTTGACATGGAAGTGCAGTCATAGAATACACGGTCTCTGCTGTTTCACTTCATCGTAGCTCTTGTCGGGTGTGAATGTGGATTCACTGTGGTCCTTATCCAATTGGAGGGGTGGCTCACTAGGGTTTAGAGGTTGGGGACCCTCTGGATCATTTGCCGAATCCACGTGCCAAAACACCACGTAGATGAATTCAATCAACTCCACAAATATTGCAGCTGTGAGACCGATGAAAATTGAGCACAGACCTCCCACCCTTGAGATGAGAATGTAAATGTCAAAGATGAGACGCTCCTCCTTATATGTTGTGTCATAGGAGGTACGAACAAGGCTGATGTAGGTGTAGGAGTCCTGATTCTCAAAGTCTTCAATACGTAGGTGAGACATGGAGCTGTTGCGTGTCGTGTGATCACCCTCCACACCAATGACTGTTTTGAGGTACTTTACAAGACGTTCACGTTCCACTGGATCATCGTAGTTATTTAGGAGGCGTTCAACTCGCTTAAATTTATCTGTGAAGTGATGCAACTTTTCTGGAATCGGTTCCCACGAGGCAATGCTAACGCTTAGAGGGTAGGTGTAAAATGAGCACCGAGGAATACAGATCCGATTTCTGATAGCTGACTCCTTGATATGCTTTAGATTGTGGAGGAGATTAGTGGTACAATTAAGACGCTTCACAATGCTCTCGAGAGTGGTGGGATCACGGGCGTCCTTTGGGAGGGCTGAGCAATAGGGCACCTTAGTGTTCACAAGGTCGGGATCTATGGGTCTTGGCCATTCGGAATTGAGACAGCCGCATTGGTTAATGGAGATGTTTTGTAAAAAACTGTCCAAGCACTGAGTCATGCGATAAGAATACTGTTTCCCCATGTCAGTGATAGGTGGAGGATCGTCTAGACAGGGAGCTGTCGGGGTTTGTAGTCGAACCCATCTCTCGGTGTTGAAAGAGAGCTCATTCATTCTACCCGGTTGTACGTTGAATCCGTATTTGTCAATCTCAGGATAGGTTCCACTTTGATGGACAACTAGTTTGACGCCTTCACCACGAGAGAACGTGTCCATTACAAAATTTTTTCGATTTTCGTTTATCTCCTTGGAAGAGACAAGACTGAGAAGGAGAGTCAA